TTATCATTTATCAATTTTTTTATGAGCTATTAATTATTATTAACAGTTAAATTCTCCCAAATTAGATGGATGAGAGACCTCTGATTCCTCTTCAACTCAATCTAAATGAAACTAAATGAGAATATATATTTCTTAATTCTTCGTTTATGTAAAAAAAAAAAAGACATTAATATTTAATTATTCATAACTTTTTACAGAAGTTTTTTAATCCTAATTTAATTTTATAATTTAATAAAAAAAATAACTATTACCATTAATCAAACAAGCCTGGACTTAGACCCCCTTGTCCTAATTTTCAAAAGGAGACAATGTAATTCTGCATTTTGTTTTTTATTTTTTCCCTTAAAATATAATTTCATGTCTGATTATGATTATATTATTTTTGTTTTTTTATTCAAAATAGCGTCACTTTGATATTTTAAGTGTAAGATAAAGACCTCAGGAGTGCAGAAATAATAAACCATTTGGTCTTATTAATAATTTTCAATTAATTAAAGGCTCCTCCCGGGTCCTGGCTAATTATTTGACTGTCATTAGGAATCTGGTGTCCTCAATTCTGTTTTAATACTCCTTAATATTGTCATTTTCAGAAATATTTTACTCTAAACATTACAAAACCAACATGTCATTTCTCTCCTTAATCATTCTCATAATATAATCAATTATTCTACAGCAATATCACATTGTAAGTTGTAACCTTTTCTATCTTCTCCTACCACCATGGATTCCAACATGGAGAGCGCAAGAATCCCATCTACGGAGCAGCCACCTCAAGTCCCGTCTCTCGAACCAGAGAAGGCAAATGGGAAGAAAAGAGGCATGAGAGCAACAGAGAATGGAAGGAGGTACCTTGGGGTGAGACAGAGACCTTCAGGGAAATGGGTAGCTGAAATCAAGGACTCATCACAGAAACTGAGGCTGTGGCTTGGCACTTTTGACAGAGCAGAGGATGCTGCCTTCGCTTATGACAGTGCAGCAAGGCTTCTGAGAGGAAGGAATGCAAAGACGAACTTCCAGTATCATGGGGTTAGCAATACCTATGAAGAGAACTGCGGACTGGTGGGGAAGAATCCGAGGCTTTATCAGATTTTGCAGCTCGCAGCCATGAAGAACCATGCCAAATCCCACTCCACGTCTCTGAGGGGGAACAGAGTTGAGTCTGTTGGTTTTGACACCCTGGTGGAGGAAACTATATACTGTTCTTCTTCTGATCATGATCAGGAGGATACTAGCAAGCTGTGTCATCTCTCACAAGGGAGCTCTAAGGTTTATTCTTCTGTTGTTGTAGCTCCTTCTTTTAGTGATTAAGTGAATCAAGGAACAGAAGGGGAAGGAGAAGAGAAGAGTTGTCAGGAACATGAAGTTTGATGAATGGTTTGAATAAGTATGGTGTAAATTTTTCACACAGATCAGGTGAAGGATTGAATTTGTGTGAAACAAAACATTTCTCTTGTATAAAGCTTGCTTTTTCTTTCATGGCTCTAGCTTTTGATATTCAGTATCCAATTTTAGTTTTCAATTTTTCATCATCATCATCATCATCAATCATTGTTGCTTTTACCGAGTTACTTCCACACATCATACTAAGTTTGCCTCTTCAATTCAGCTAAAGGTGTTACCTCTCTAATCGCCTCTCCAAAGAATCAGTCCTTGTCAATGATGTAGGAAATACAGTAAAACCCTTAAGGAATTAGGATCTGAGATCTTAAGATTATTACATTGTTTTATAAATTAATTTTTGTCAGAATTACTGATCAATCATGCAATGTATTGACATAGGGGGCAGCCGCCTCTTCCAGTGATAATCACTTGTGCAAATGCTGATGCATTTATCAGAAGATTAGTTGGATCTGATTAAATCAAATTGCCAGTTTACTACAACAAGGCAGATACTTGTTTATTGTCACACTACATGACTGTATTTCCTCTTAAACTAATCATCCTGTCACGGAAAGGGCTAAGGACAAAACAAAGGGTCTGGTATAAATAAAGCTAAAGCAGCAATTAGACCCAACATAACAGGGGAAAGGGAGGCCTAACAAAAGAATCACAACAAAACAGAATCGAAATAAATTCTCTTTAGAGAATCCAAACCAAGACTGATTCAATTAGACTGAGAATTGACAAGGGAAAGTTTTATACTAGGTACACGGGAAATAATTTCCAACCAACAAAGAGGGAATAAGATAAAAGAACAGTAGAATATCCTTAGCTAGTTCATCTTTCCTTATATTCTTTTTTTCTTTCTTTTGGGTTGGCTGATGCTTCCACAACCATCCATTTTCCACATTTTTGGATGGTTCCCCACAAGCACCCATGTAGGTAGGTTTGATACCAGATTCCAAAATTTGTTCACATCATCAAAACAGCAGAGATTCTTTAGCAAGTTGGTACCTGTAAACCGTATGTATTTCCCTTCACTTTAATGGAGCAATGACGATGGCATGTTCCCCCACCTGGAAATTTCACATCAAGAGACACTTTTATAAAGAAACAACTTTTGACTACCTGCCCAAAGAACATGACACATAACAGGCAGAGAATCAATTCCCTTTACCGTCATGTAATAAAACTAAAAAAGGGGAAAGGAAAAGGGAAACTGCTAACACCATCTTTTCCCATTTCCCTGGAGGTTAAAATAGTGAATCTTCTACCATCATGGAAACTTTAGCAGAATTGAGATTTGTGACCATGAGCCTCTTACAGAATCCCATGCCACAGGAATTTAAACCAATGGTGGGAATTCTTAATGAACTTTCAGCATTGTCCCCATCAATTTGCATTAACCATTTCCTATCTGATTTTTAAAAGTGCAAATACCAAAGAAAACCCAATTTTTAGTCGTCTACAAGTCATCTTCAAGACAGTGTTAGCCAAGCTCTGGTCCTAAGGAGTAAAGAGAGAAAAGAAGGACAGATGAAACAGTAGTTATAAAGAAATGCTACATTGATCACTACTATTTTAAAACAAAAAGATACTTGAAGGAGCAAGATGAAACGTAAAAACAGTGAGACATGAATTCTTAGAATAGTAATCATACTTCTACTTCGTCAAAGCTATTGCAGTGACAAAGTACAAGAATTTCACGGGTTTCCAAGGTTAACGTCTCACAAGATGACAAGACAACAATTAAATTTAGTTCTCAAGTGAAAAGATTCAGCTTGCAATGCAATACATGAGGATAATGAAGACTCGTTATAACATCCAAAAATGGTGGGGCAAAAGGAACTAGCAATTATTACAGTCAGTGGCAGCAATGTCACCATAAAAAACTTCTTAATTTTACAAATTGAAAGACATAAATCACCCTTGATATGCTTCATCCGCATCCATAGACCATAATACACTATTTAAACGCTAAAACTAGATACAAGTATTAAACACATCTAAAACTCAATTATTCACAATTAATCCACTTGTATCATATGAAATTATCAATAATAAATAAGATATATAAAAGGAAACAAGAATGAATACCGAAAAACCATTGAAATGAGAATCAACATAGAAGAAGAAGATGAAATGAGACATGACCAAGTTGGGTTCACGACAGCAAAATGATAAGGAGGTCCCTTTTGCTTCCCCTGCAACCAACCACCATTAGATCATCAATTTCTAAAAATAAAATAAATTTTTTTTAAAAAAAAAAAAAGAAGAAATTTTGCAGTATGTTATTTCTAGGAAAAAAAAAGGGGGGCTGGATGTTAATAAACCAAAGTGGAGAAACAATGAAAGGGGAAAAAGATTGAAACTTTTAATCTCGGAATAATTTCTCAGCAACCAAACAGCAGAAAAAGAAAACACCCATAAAGAAAAAGCTAAGCAAAGAAAGAGAGAGGGGTAAGGCGCTGGATGCAGAGGTTTATCGATCGATTCATGTAGTTGAGCTAAATCAAACAAAATTCCCAGGAAGAGATCGATGAACCGCTGCCTCCAGTGTCTTCACCCTCCCGTTTCCCTTTTTTTCTTTCTTCT